ACCAGATCACACGCTGGCTTTCAGGAGGGCGGGAATAGTACATTCATTCATCACACCAGATCACACGCTGGGCACAAAGCTTGCCTGGATTGTGTGGGCACTTGCATTTGTCCCTCTTATCTAACATCGCATTCAAAATTACTTAATGGAGGGAAATGTTGTAATCATAAAGATTGTGGGATACCCTGTAGGTTTTCATCACCCTACTCAAAACATGTGAGAAGCCACAGTATAGGAAGGCTTTATGAATGTATGCAATGCGAAAAAGCCTTTAATTGTTCGTCAACACTCAGCAAACACAGAAAGATTCACAGTAGAGAGAGGCCTTATGTATGTAATGAATGTGGGAAAACCTTTAGTCTCTTGTCAGCATTATGGCAGCATGAGCTAAAACACAATGAAGAGAAGCCTTATGTATGTAAGGAATGTGCGAAATGCTTTAAATATCCTTCAAAACTGGCCCAACATAATATAAAACACAGTGGAGAGAGGCCTTATGAGTGTAAAGAATGTGGGAATGCCTTTAAGTACAGTTCAACCCTGACTCAACACATCAAAATACACAGGAGAGAGAGGCCTTATGAATGTAAAGAATGTGGGATGGCCTTTAGTCTCTTGTCAGCATTATCACAACATGAGATAAAACACCGGGGAGAGATGCCTTATGAATGTAAGGACTGTGGGAAAGGCTTTAAATATCCTTCAAAACTGACTCAACATATTAGAAAACACAGTGGGGAGAGGCCTTATGAGTGTAAAGAGTGTGGGAAAGCCTTTAGCTGGCCTTCAGTATTGTCACTACATGAGCGAAAACACAGTGGAGAGAGGTCTTATGAATGCAAAGAATGTGGGAAAGTCTTTAAATATACGTCCACCCTGGCCCAACACATCAAAACACACAGTGGAGAGAGGCCTTATGAGTGTAAAGAGTGTGGGAGATCCTTTAGTTGCCCTTCAGCCCTGTCGCAACATGAGATAAAACACAGTGGGGAAAGGCCTTATGAATGTAAGGACTGTGGGAAAGGCTTTAAATATTCTTCAAAACTGGCTCAACATACCATAAAACACAGTAGGGAGAGGCCTTATGAATGTAAAGAATGTGGGAAAGGCTTTAAATATACGTCCACCCTGGCTCAACATATCAAAACACACAGTGGAGAGAAGCTCTATGAATGTAAAGAGTGTGGGAAAGCCTTTAAGTACACTGCGACACTGGCTCAGCACATCAAAACACACAGTGTAGAGAGGCCTTATGTATGTAAAGAGTGTGGGAAAGCCTTTAGTTGGCCTTCAGCCCTGTCCCAACATAAGCGAAAACACAGTGGGGAGAAGCCTTATGAATGTAAAGAGTGTGGGAAAGCCTTTAGTGGGTTGTCGGCACTATCACAACATGAGCGAAAACACAGTGGAGAGAGGCCTTACGAATGTAAAGAATGCGGCAAAGCTTTTAAATACACGTCAACCCTGGCCCAACACATCAAAACACACAGTGGAGAGAGGCCTTATGAGTGTAAAGAGTGTGGGAAAACTTTTAGCTGGCCTTCGGCACTCTTGCAACATAAGAAAAAACACACAGGGGAAGAGGCTTTAGGAATGTGCGATGTGGAAAGAGCCTTGAATGATCTTTCGACCCTGATGGAACAGAAAAATTCACCATGGAGTGAGGCCTCATGAATGGAAGAAATGGGAGAAAGCCCTCAGTCCTCAAATCTCAAAACACCTAGAACGCACATGGCAGAGAAGCTTTTAAATGTAAGGAAGGTGGGAACTACTGTTGGATTGTATCCCTGACTTGACACAAAGTAGTTCACAGTACAGAGAGGTCTTGTGTGCAAAAGGATGCGAGGAACCCTTTGCTCCTTCAAAGACACATGATGTGTTCTATAGAGACAAAAAGGCAAGGAGTATGATAATGCCTTTATTGCTTCCTCATTTCTCACTAGACAGAGTCTCAGTGGAAGTGCAGGGGGAGGCTTTGTATCTGTGTGGAATAGGAAACTTTGCTCTCCCTAACCTTTTAGAAACTGTATGACTGATATATAATTACTACTTAATATAAAGCTCTTTCTTATACATAAAAAAGAAACTATATGAAACAATTAGGAAAAAAAAACAAAAAACCAAGCATACACTGATGTTAGAAACCCTTCAGGCATCCTGTATCTTTTTGAAAACTTGAAAGTACATACAATAGAAATCAAGTAGAAGTAGCATTAAGGGCAAGTATTTGCTCTCACCCGGTATTATCCAAGGTGGTGAGGATTCATTCATATGATAAGTCTTCATGAATTACTACCTCTTTTTAATAAATGACCAGTGGCATTTGAAATCTTGTGTAAGCAACCTAGAAACGTCTCAGTTTGGGAATTCTTAAAAATGTGTCATTGGAAAAAAAAAAAAAGTGTCATTTGTTGCACTAGAAATTGACCCTATGATTTTAAAAGATGAGGGAACCCTCGTTTTCTGCTCAGTACCTCTCAGCGACCTCAAACACTGTGACTGAAAGCAGAGTACCTTTCAGTTGTGGCTTTGGACGGACATCATCATGGCACTCCCGATCTTGATTTCTTATGTTTGATTAAAAATATCCCTCAAGACTATGGTTATTGTGAAGCGTGGTTTTTGGTTTTCTTTCATTTTGTTTTGTTTTTCATGTTTCCATGAATAATTTTTTAACTTTTTATTGCGAATTAGTTGAGGCTTCACATTTCAGATAATTTTCTTTATGTTCAATAATTTGAGCATAGGATCAAACTTCCCAGTACTTTGCCCTGCCTCCTCACCGCCATCGAGATGACGCTGACAAGTAGCAACCTGAAGGACAGGGCAGAACGCCCTTTGTGGGTTTCTGAGGCTGTCCCTTGACGGAAGTAGAAAACCCTGTCCTCCCACCAGGCGGCTGGTGGTTTCCAACTGCTGACCGTGCAGTTAGCAGCCCAGCTCATGTAAAAGAGAAAACAGCAGGTGCTCTTGCCTTGCTCACAGCACCCCAATTTTTTCCCTTTATCTCAGAAGTCTGAAGGGGAAATTCTGCTGTGGCCTACAGGTTTGCTCTGAGTTGATCCGCGTGAGCTTTGAGGGGTGGGGTGTTTTGTTTTGGGTTTTTTTTTTTTGCTCCTATAAGATATTAATCTAACAAGATTTTTATTTTTAAAAAGTCATAAAAACTCAGACATCTCTAGGTATCCCATCACAAATTCCAGGTCATTTCTCTTAGCCATCGTTGTAAATCATTTTCTTGACAACACCCGTGTGAAGTACTGAAGAGTACTAACGGTTCAGTCGTGCCCTGTTGTTGTCTCTGGTATTGTTTGTCCAATTATGATTCCTACTTTACCAGGCCTGTGCAAATGTCCATGTGGAAAGTAGGTTTTATATGGAATTGTAGCTCAAACTGGATGTCTACATGGATCCACATATGTCCCTTGCAGCAGGACATTTAGAGTCAAGCAGCACCTTAGATCCTGTATTTCCACACACACAGGCCTGCTTTTGGTAATTATGTGATTTCAGGAGAAAGAATTGGTCCGAAAACTCGTCCCCCATGTTTCAGTCGATCAGCATGGTGGCTCATCTTCTACTTGTTTGCATTCTTGCCGTAAAGGCTGAAGGTTTCTGACATCCTGAAACATCACAAGGAGATTCCAGATCAATTACCCAGGGCTGATTTCTCTGGTGCAAAGGTCAGGAATACCGTCTACAAATAGTTTTAAGCCAAAAAGAGCCTCAATGGAATGACTGCCACGGATTCTGATAAGAAAACAATTTTGGGTATGGTACAAGACCACCTAGTTTCTATCTGTTGTACACGGGGTACCCATTTTCATATCCCTGGTTACTCATTGCCCAGCTGGCCGGAGCCCCAGTTGCCACAGATCCCTCCAACCTCCCGACCTGCAATTCACAGTGCAACCTGGGTGACCCACCAAGAGACATGCACGGGTCAACGTGTCCCTAACTCCTGTTGACACCAGGGTCGCATTACCTTTGACCTGAACCTGGTGCTGCTGCTCCACAGACTCTTAGAACCTTTAGAGATCAGCCGCCTCTAGGGCAAGAGCAGATGAGGGAGGGGGGTGCCGAGATCAACCTGCTCAACAGGTGCCATTCATCAGCTAAACAGGCGTGGGCAGCTTTGTCCTTCCTGGACAGAGGTGGGATGGAAAATGGGACAGGTGCTTTCCATCTGCTGTGTTTAATACTGTGTCACGAAACAGTAAAACTGCCCCCTGGTGTCCCAGCAAGCAGCCACCTTTTCTCCCATGGACCATCTGGTGTGGTCAAACAGCAAGCACTTCCACTGCACCACCGGGGTGTCCCAACAAGCTACCTGTCCTATTTGGAATCAGCGTCGAAGAGTGCAGTCCGGCAGTTCCCGGGACAGGCCTTTTGATTGGGATAAACGGACGCATTTGTGATTACTCGCAGCTGGGAAGACGTGAGAGTAGGCGTCAGGGAGGGCGTCTGCTCCACCTCACTGCGAGTCCGTACAGTAGAAGGCAGCAAGCGTCTGTTCTGCACCACCCTCACAATCAGGGTTATTTTTCTGGCCCCTTGCAGACCCCACCCCCCACCCCCATCATCTAATCATTAAGGGTGTTCTTTTTATCCTCAACTGTACCAGGGATGACATCCTTCTCTGGGAACTGGTCTCTCCTGAGAACATGTTTCAAAGCACAGGCTAGAAAGTCTCTCCATTCCTGCCTCTAAAGAGCAACTTGGCTATACAGTTTCCCAAGTAGATTTGTGCATTCTCCTGCCAGTCCGTGGTACAGTCAGTTGTCTTCAGAACGCCATAATTCAAATGGGTCTCTTCATATCTGCTCTTACTG